TAAGAGTGGCATAAAATTCCTCTTTACCCTGTAAAGGATTAAAAAACTGAAATAACCTGGGTGGCACCTAACCAAAAGTGGCCTGTCCGGAGAAGGTTTTTTGTCTGTGTCTCCCGAAGTCAACAAGAAACCAGGGCAGGAAAAATACATCTCCCTAAGCCATATCTAAGCTAAGCATCTAATAGTGCAAAAATAGTAAGTAATAGCAAAAAAAGGTGTTAGGTTATCTTTTATTTTAGCTTGTAAATTTTTCCTGTGCTAAAAGGAAGGTTTATCCCTGTTTTTGTAACTTTAAAGTTTTGCCTAAAGGGGAAATCCTCTGTGTTTTTAAATCTTTTGTTATTCTGTAAAGTACTTACCATCCTAATTTTACAAAGGTAATTCTTTTACCTTTTCTTTAAGAACCCAATTGATTTTTATTTGTTCTTAAGATCCAAGGGTTTGGATTTGTGTTCACCTGTATCAATTGGTGAGGATATTATTCTCAAGCTGTCCCCAGGAAAGGGGGTGCAGGGCTTGGGGGAATATTTTGGGGGAATAGGACTCCAAGTGGTCCTTTCCCTGATTCTTTGTCTAAATCACTTGTTGGTGGCAGCATACTGTTTAAGGCAAGGTAAAATTTGTGCCTTGACAAAGTTTTTAACCTAAGCTGGTAAAAATAAGCTTAGAGGGGCTTTCATGTGGGTCCCCACATCTGTACCCCAAAGTTCAGACTGGGGAAGGAACCTTGACATCAGCATTACAAGGTATTTATGTGCCAGATGTGCTAAACATTCATATGCCTCTTCATGCTTGGCCACCATTCCAGAGGACATGATTCCAAGCTGATGATGCTCGTTAAAAAAATAATGTGTTAATTAAATATGGGACTGAACTCCTTGGGGGAGAATTGTATGTCTCCTCCTCTGTTTTACCCGCATGCTGACATCTATCTCATGTTATAGCAGTCTTGAATGATGACCCAGCACATGTTCATTTTAAGAACACTTTCACTGCAGATTTGATAAAACTCAAAGGAGTTACCAATGTGAGATTTCTAAAGATAGTTACAGCACTTTGACACAAGGTTTAAGAATCTGGAGTGCCTTCCAAAATCTGAGAGGGACTAAGTGTGGTGCATGCTTTCCGAGGTCTTAAAAGAGCAACACTCTGATATGGAAACTACAGAACCCGAACCACCAAAAAAGAAAATCGACCTTCTGCTGATGGCATCTGACTCAGATGATGAAAATGAACATGCATTGGTCTGCACTGCTTTGGATCGTTATCAAACAGAACCCATCAGCAGCATTCCTTTGGAATGGTGGTTGAAGCATGAAGGGACATATGAATCTTTACGCATCTGGCACATAAATATCTTGCAACGCCAGCTACAACAATGCCATGTGAACACCTGTTCTCACTTTCAGGTGACATTGTAAACAAGAAGTGGCCAACATTATTTCCTGCAAATGTAATCAAATTTGTTTGTCTTAGCGATTGGCTGAACAAGAAGTAGGACTGAGTGGACTTGTAGGCTCTAAAATTTTACACTGTTTTGTTTTTGAAAGCTTATGTTTTTGTACATAATTCTACATTTGTAAGTTCAACTTTCAAGATAAATAGATTGCACTACGGTACTTTTATTTTTACAATGCAAATATTTATAATAAAAAATAAATACAAAGTGAACACTGTACATTTTATGTTTGGTGTTGTAATTGAAATCAATATACTTAAAAATGTGGAAAACATCCAAAATATTTATATAAATATTATTCTATTATTGTTTAACAGCCCGATTAATCACACAATTAATCACCCGCTGCTCCCCTCCCCCCAATGGGTGCACAGAGACATGCCAGCAGCAGCGCACCAGGGCTAAGGTGGCTCCCTGCCCACTCTGCCTCCCTCTGCACTGCTTCACTCCCAAAAGCGGCTGGCATGTCCCTGCGGCTCCTGGGTGTGTGTGTGTCTCCTCGTGCTACCCCCGCCCTGAGCGCCGACTCCGCAGCTCCAACTGGCCGGGAACTGCGGCCAATGAGAGCTGCGGGGGTGGTACCTGCAGGCAGCTGCGTGCGGAGACCCCTGGCTTTACTCGCCTAGGAGCCGCTGCCGGAGGGGTGTGGGTGCCGGTCGCTTTGGGAGCCACGCTGCCTGAAATAAGCACTGCCCTCCTGCCCCCTTCCTGCTCCCCAACCTCCTGCCCCAGCCCAGAGCCTGCACCCAGCACCCAAACTTCCTCCCAGAGCCCACACCCCCTCCTGCACCCCAACCCCCTGCCCCAATCAATGTACCTCACTTTATTTTCATTTTCTTCCCATTCCTTATAATATAGGAGGAGGAGGAAGAAAGAAAGAATGAAAAATGGTGCAGGGGTGGGGGAGTTAAGAGAGAATGTTCTTTTTCTTGGCTGGGTCCTGGTGGGGGGCGGGGCCGAAAATGAAGCTGCGCACAGGGCCCCACTAACTCTAAATCTGCCACTGGCTACTGGGTTGTTTCATTGCTGTGTAGATGTCCGAGTTGAGGCTAGATCAAAGCTCTGGGACCTTCCCACCTCGTGGAGTTCTACAGCTTGGGCTCCAGCCTGAGCCTGGACGTCTACACAGCAGCAAAACTGCCCCACAGCAAGAGTCCCATGAGCCTGAGTCAGCTGGCATGGGCCAGCCACAGGTGTCTAGTTGCTGTGTATACCTACCCCAAACAGGCCCTAAGGCTCAGGTGAACGGTGTCTGTATAGCCTATAGGGACTTTCCTCCCGTTTGTGGACAGCATAGAAAATTCAAAGTGTTCCTCAGTCACACAGCTTTGTAGAGCGTGTGTGCTTCACACACACACACACACCTTTTCCCATGAATTGGGGGCTTTAAAGCTTTAAAATCACAAAGAAACATTGTTTTTTCTTTGTTTTCTTCTGGATCTCCCTCAGCCCCTTCGCCTCCATCTCCATCCTAACTTAATATTCTCTCTTTCTTTTTCCTTTCCTTTATTCTCTTGTACTGACTCCAGTTGTAGACAGGCTAGTCTATGTACCTTAATCATATATGAGGGGACTCCAGTGAATTTATCCATCTGAAACTTTTATAACAACAAGTTTAAAGGTAAGTAATTCTGGAGGCACTGGGCACCTCTGAATTAAATATAACCTAAATTTGAGCGGTTGTTTGTTTTGTTTTGTTTGAAGCATGTTGAGCCAAATTCACCCCGATGTAAACCCACCAAATGCAGTGCAGTTACATCAGGAATGAATTTGGCCTATTCTGTAGGAAAAGGCTGGGATTGGGGAATTAGACATATGATCCCCATTGATTTTCAATGGAGCTGAGCTCCTAACACTTTAAACTCCTTAGACAAAAGGAATTAGGAAGATTGCTGTGCACGAAATTCAATATCCTCGCCTCTATGTCTTAGAGAAAGAATCACTTTGGACCAGATCCTAATCTCAGTTAAACTGATGTGAATCAGAAGAAATTCCATTTAAATCAATTGAATTACACAAGGGTAAAACTGGACTAAGTGAGGCAAGGAACTGGCCCTTTAATTCTTATTTTCCACTAATTCTTTCCAATTGCAGATACATGGAAATATTAGACGCTTTTTTTTCCTCCCTCTCCCTATATATATTTAGCATCTTTCCATTTCACTTTTCTGTCTCCTACTGATTGTTCATTAAAGTAATGCATTTAGCACACAGCCAATTAAAACCACTGTTATGTGCTATAATTCTCACTAGTCTATACAAATTGCATTTGTAGTTGTTAGAGAATGCTACCTCATAAATCATCTGCAGTTTCAGTTTCTGAATGCTTCCTGTAGGCCCTTGAATATAAATCCTACACCTCTGTGATTAAAATTCCAGTTCTACTCTTTCATTATTTTATCTATCTTGTTCTCTTCAAACAAATGGTTATTGCAGCTGCTATTTACCTTGACCCTTTTCTTTTAAAATAAAAACAATTTCAAAATATATTAATGGGAAAAGTCTATTGTTAACTCAGCTCTGTCATTGACTACAGCAAGTCCACTTTCATTTTAGGGATCCAGAAGAAGAAGTTTTGCAAAATACCAAATGAAATTAATGGGCAGCAGGTTTAAAACAAATAAAAGGAAGTTCTTCTTCACACAGGGCACAGTCAACTTGTGGAACTCCTCGCCTGAGGAGGTTGTGAAGGCTAGGACTATAACAGGGTTTAAAAGAGAACTGGATAAATTCATGGAGGTTAAGTCTATTAATGGCTATTAGCCAGGATGGGCAAGGAATGGTGTCCCTAGCCTCTGTTTGTCAGAGGGTGGAGATGGATGGCAGGAGAGAGATCACTTGATCATTGCCTGTTAGGTTCACTTCCTCTGGGGCACCAGGCATTGGCCACTGTCGGTGGACAAGATACTGGGCTAGATGGACCTTTGGTCTGACCCAGTATGGCCATTCTTATGTTCTTATGTACTTCCTATACCTTTGTGACAAGGCATAAGGATGCTCCTTGAATCCAAGCTTGGAAGGGGTTACAAAGAGAGCCCATATTCCCTGCCAGTATACGGATGATCTGGGGTAGGACTATCAAAGCAAAGGGGCTGCAGTAGTGGCTAACAAGGAACTCTTTTATCCTCTCTGATTGGTGGTTATCAGATGTTATGAGTTGCTGTGCTTTTATTCTTGAATCTTCTTTGTGCAAATAAAGCCTGCTCAGAAAAAAATAGACTTATGCTGAATTATAGTTCAAGGCTTTATTCATCCCTCCTCCCCCTCCCCCTGATTAGTGTAGCTGCCCACCAGTTTTCAACACCCTTCATTCACCCCAATACATGCATTCGTTTAGGGCTCAGTCCTGTGAAGTGAGTCCAAGCCAGTTAAAAATCGACTTCAGTGGGCTACTCCACATGCTTAAAGTCAAGCACATGCCTAATGCTTTGAGTGCTTAGCACCAGCAGCGTATTATCGTCTAGGCCAACAAGGCGTAGGCCTAGGGCGGCAAATTTGCAGGGGCGGCAAATTTAAAATAGCAGCCCAGCATTTTTATAAGGTGGAAAAATCTGGATCACCTTATAATGGCAATTACATGATGGCCCTTGAGCTTGTCGCAGAATTCGACCCATTTTTAGCAAGTCACATTGCACGTTATGGAAATGAAGGTCGAGGTAACGTATCTTATCTTTCATCCTATACATGTAATGAATTTATAACATTGATGGCTTCAAATGTGATCTCAAATATTATTAAAGAAGTAAAAGAAGCCAAATATTTCTCGATAAGCATTGACTCAACTCCCGACATATCTCATGTTGATCAATTGGCTTTTATACTGAGATATGTAAACAATGATGGCATACCAGTAGAGAAGTTTCTTTGTTTTTTACCAAATACTGGCCACAAATCAGAACAGTTAGCTGATGCTGTACTTTCAACTTTGAATTGTTATGGATTAAATATCGCAAACTGCCATGGCCAGTTGTACAACAATGCCACTAACACGTCTGGTGTATACAGCGGGTTGCAAGCAAGAATTAAGAATATAAATCCTTATGCTGTGTATGTGCCTTTCTCTGCGCATTCTTTAAATCTGGTTGGAGTATGTGCAGCAGAAAGTTGTCAAGAAGCATGCTCATTTTTCTCAACTGTCCAACATCTTTATTCATTTTTTTCTGCCTCTACTCACCAGTGGGAGATTTTACTATCTAATTTGAAGCCAGGCAGTAAAGCAATAAAGAGACTTTCTGAGACTCGCTGGTCATCTCGAGTGGAAGCTTGTCATAATTTGAGTGAAAACTGGAATGCTATAATTAAAGCCCTAAATACAATAAAGGAAGATGCTACTGAGAAACCTGTTACACATAATGAAGCTGCAGGCCTGCAGCGAAAACTCGATCGACTTGAGGCAGCTTTTATGGCTGTATTTTGGAGCTCACTCTTGGAAAGATTTCATATAACTAGCCAAAAACTGCAAAATGTTTATATTGATATACAGACAGTTGTAGAACTCTACAACTCACTAATAGGATACATTAACTCTATACAGGACTTGTTTGATATGTACGAAGAGAAAGCCAAAGAAAAATCTGAAATTGAAGACTACGATTTTGACACAAAGCGAAAAAGAAAGCGTAAACTGCAAGCTGAGGAGACACGCGAAGTTGAAGTGGAAATGTGTGGTAGAGATAAATTTAAAGTAGATACCTTTTTACTAGACCTTGTATGTTCCGAATTGAAACGCAGAAGTAATGCGTATCAAGAAATTTATGGCAGCTTTCAGTTTCTCTCTAACATTACCAATACTTCAACCGCAGATATAACAGTTCATGCTAAAAAATTACGGCTATGCTACCAAGGAGATTTAGAAGAATCATTTGTGAATGAGTGTCTACATTTTCGATCGTATTTGGAAGGTGTCGAAATTCCTGAAAATGAAAAGAAGTCAATTATAAGATATTGCAGCCTTCTTCGAAATCGAAACATTCATTCAGTATATCCAAATCTTGATATTGCCTTCCGAATGTTCGTTTGCACACCTGCTACAAACTGTTCAGTGGAACGATCATTTTCGGCATTGAAAAGGGTGGAAAACTATTTGAGGGCTAATCTCAGTGAAGAAAAATTAAACTCCCTTTCTCTCCTGACAATTGAAAAGGATCTAACAACTTCTCTGGATTATACAGAATTAATTAATAAGTTTGCTGCTCAAAGTGTAGGCGTAAACAAATGTAATTACTTACTACTCAAATACTTTTATTTCTTTCATTGTATCTACATAAAATAAAAAATAAATATTTGATATAAAACTGGACCCCCGCTTGAACGCAGCATTTTGGATCCATGCGCAGTCCCACGCTATAACCGAAACCGTGCTATACAGACTAGAACTAAAAAAACTAAAACAAGTTCATATGGGGCCAGCCGCTGGGGTCGGCAATTATTTCAGGGCCTAGGGGCGGCAAAATCATTAATCCACCACTGCTTAGCACCAGCATATTGCAGCATTGGGCCTTATGCTATTGCCAGGTGTTTTGTGGGGAATCTCCTATTCTTTCCAGCAGTGGAGTCTTATCCTCATTGGCAATCGCTGAACCCAGTTTTTCTCCTCCGCTCACTGGATGGATATACCTCTCTGTACCACCCCCGCCGCACACACACACACACACACACACACACACACACACACACACACACAC